TACAAGTAGACCTGTGGGCGACACATCATATATATTTTCAGTACACCTGTGGGCAACACATGATATATATTTTCAGTACACCTTTGGGCAACACATCATATGTATTATCAGTACACCTTTGGGCAATACATATATACAATCATTAGACCTTTGGGCAACACATCATGTATATTATCAGTAGACCATTGGACAACACAGGTATATATATTACCAGTAGACCTGTGGGCAACACATCATATGTATTATCAGTACACCTTTGGGCAACACATATACATGGTCAGTGGACCTGTGGGCAACACATCATGTGTATTATCAGTACACCTTTGGGCAACACATATACATGGTCAGTGGACCTTTGGGCAACACATCATATATAGTGTATATACCAAGGTCTCTGTAGTTCACCTGTCTACAGTCAAATATAATCAAGCTTTGTATCCCTAAAGAGGATATTTAACTAATCAGTTTGTAATCTAGTTTTATCATATGGATAAGTGGAGTTTGGTAGTCACACTGTGCACTCAGCTGTAGTATTAAATCATGCATACTAGAGGATTAAGATTTCTTCCTTGCAGTCTGTATTGACTGATGTCAGTTATGATTCAACATTGACACGTCATCGGTTCCCAGTTGCGCACATCAATGCTCATGCTGTTGATCACTGGATTGTCTGGTCCAGACTCTACCATATAGCTGGAATATTGCAGAGTGCGGCGTAAACTCACTCACTCACTATGTTTCAACACTTCAAATGATATATGTCACCCAGATAGATAGAAATTAGAAAACGATAGATCATGTTTTTATTCTACAATGTCAGTACATACTGTATGTTTCTAGATTTGTAGGTTTCATTGAGTAGTCAGTGCCAAAATTGTTTACATTTCAAACCTCAAGCTAAACTTGTCTGTTCCAAATGTAATTTCTGTTTATCAAATACTCAACAAAACTCTCAAATCTGAAAACATTACCATATCATTTTTTCTAACTAGATAACTACCCCTCAGCCTTCAGCACTGCTAGAACTTGGCTGACATACTGCCGACATATGTCATCAACTGGTTCCAATTGCATCATGCATGACATGTAGGAGATTTGGAGAAAAATCACTGAGCCAATTGTATGCAGAATTTTATGAAGTTTGGTTTAGAAGTTAGCGAATCAGATCTGTTCTTTTTTTTTACATATTTTGTTTTACAAAAACCTAATGCTGCCATTTTTGTCAATCAAAATGTTGTTTTAATCCAAATTTCTCTTTTGTTCAATTATTTTCTTGTTGCTTTGATTATTTTATCATTGCTGTAATAATTTGTCTGAGTAATATACCAAAACATGTGCATGTTGCTGCATATTAATTACGTCAATGTTTTGTTTCATCGTCACTTCACTTGTTTGATAAACACTAAGTAATAAAGTTAACCAGTATGTATCTGGACATCCTTCTCCTACCTTTCCATTTCTCAGTAATATTTAGTCTCTTTCTGCTTAATGAAGCGATTACTACTACTAGTGTAGACGGGCGGTGAGGTAGCCTAGGGGTTAAAGCGTTAGCTTGTCATGCCTGTTTGGAATAATATTACATGTTGTTTAAAGGCTAGGTTGCACCTGAATTATTCTGCTATGGTTAGTTTTATTTGTGTGTCAGTATAAAGAGCTTGTCATTTTTAGCATGTACATTGGTATTATGGAATACCATGCAGTCAGTCTTATTATGTTGTAACTGTTTTGGTTTTAGAGACTAATAGTGTATGTTTAGTGTGGTCATGACTACAATTTGTTTGGTTTTCCCTGATGTAATCATAATATTTTGAAGAATTGTTTCTAGTCAGGAAATGTGAAGCAGTATTTTGCATTTTGTGTACTAGTTTGGAATAATATCTTTATTTGACCAGTAGTTAAGTTCTCTGACTGTAGATACATCGTAGTAGTGGCTTAAGTCGTTGACATTTGATACAATAAATGCTCCCTGGCTGTTAAAAGTTTACTGCGAGCAAGCGCATGAGTGACCATGATCGTCAAAAAGAGTTTGTCGAGAGCAAGTATATATTGAATGTTGAAGTTTCAGAGACGGTCGAGATGCACTCTTCAGGTACAAATGTCACTCTTATAATATATCCATGTTTGTATGTGTATTATACTATTTTCAGAGTATTTTGCAATTACAGGAATGTTCAATTATTTGGTCACGTGCAAAAGTGTATCCTATATCCGTGGTAATGGTGCTCTCTGATACATTGTGTTTTGTAACTATATGGCAGATTTCTGTTATAATGTCAGGATTTTAGAGTCAGTTTGTAGTTTTAGAATCAATGTTAAGTCAACATGCTCAGTGTTAATTCATGGAATTTACTATCTGTAGTTTTGCTTGACTTTTTCAAAGTTTCGTGAAACTTGGGAGCAGTCATTGCATGACATTGTCATGTATTGTGAACTTATTGCTGTAGTTTCATTATAATGGGGTATTCACAAATGTTGTTTCATGATAATAAGTGCTAAATATAAGTTGCTACATTGTATCATTCTGTTATTTCAGAACCTGGAAGTAAACATCCTTGTTAGAGGAATATCTCGACCAGTGTTTATGGTTCTTTCTATATGACTCCTACCAATGCCGAAGGCCCCGGGTTCGATTCCCCACATGGGTTCAATGTGTGAAGCCCATTTCTGGTGTCCCCTACCCTGATATTGCTGGAATATATAGCTAAAAGCGGCGTAAAACTAAACTCAATCACTACTAGTGTTGACCCTCATTTCTCTCATAGACAGTGGCAGTCACTCCCATTCGATTCTCAGCCATGTTACGAGATTTAAAGTTTCCTCAATACTCAAGACTCCAGCTTTGCAGAACTATTACTGTTCTACCTCATAGCAAACTTAATTTAAGGACTGTGTGTTCTTATATTGAATATTGCAGTGATTAGAAACTAACATATACTACTCACACTTTGCTAAGGATCACAAAAATTCCCAATTTACTTAAACATATTTATAATTTGAAATTGTATCCATTTAAAACTGGATAAATAATAATATAGTAACCCTTCTGTAGGCAAACAGCTAGTTTAATCTAACATTATGCACTTGATACATGAGTAACCATAATAAATGGTTTTAGTGGCACAAATCAACCATTTTGCAAATCATGGAAAGAGTCATTGACAAGTACACAACACCTGTCAATTAGTGGTGGTCCGATTAATTGAAATAATCGAAGATTGGTCGCAGTGACTAAACGACCAAGCAATCGATCATGTTTTCTCATAATCAAACACAAACAATTCTGGAACACTTGTTTTTTATCAACAATATTTTTCACAAGGTTGGTTTTTGTCTGTTACATTTCATAAGCACTACAAGCTCGTTCCAAGTCATGATTGAATTTATCTTAAAGACACCAAACAATTTATGTTCCTAGCATACTAGTAATCCTTTAAAGATGTGAACTTTTGCAAAAAAAAACCAAAATAACTACGTTTTTTTCCTTATTTTTTTGTGCTTTAACAAATTTCATAATGACGCTAACCAATTATTTTCGATGATTGATCAGTGGTAATGAACCAATCATCAATTATGAGATTTTAACCAATTCCCAACACTACTGTCAATAGCAGGTATGGAATCCACAAGATGCAATGACATACTGAAACCTAGGATCCATACTTACAATAAGCTTAGATATTTAAACCAAATTATAATAATAATAATAATAGTTCATTTATAAAGCGCATATTTCCATGCACAATGCATGCTCAAAGCGCCGATGGCAGGACGAAAAGGCTTTTTGGAAAAGGTGGGTCTTTTAGCGATGTTTGAAAGGTTGAAAGTTCTGTCATTTCTCTCAAACGTTGTGGGAGATGATTCCATTCTGAGGCTGCAGCATAAGAGAAAGTTCTTTGACCAAAGTTGACAGTTCTGACTTTAGGAATACACAGAAGATTATGTTTCTTGGAGCGGAGGGATCTTGTTGGTTTGTATGGAGAAAGGAGGTCGGACAGATATTGAGGTGCACTTCCAGAGAGACATCTGAAGGCGAGAATGCAGAGTTTAAAAGTGATTCGCTGTGGAATGGGCAACCAGTGGAGGTCCTTCAACACAGGGGTGATGTGAGCTGACTTGGGTGAGAGAGTGACTATTCTTGCTGCTGTGTTCTGAACCCGTTGCAGTCTACCAATCCGGGATTTTGTTGCACCAGCGAAGAGGCTGTTGCAATAATATAGTCTTGTCATCACCAATGAGAGGACAAGGATTATAGCTGACTCCTTTGTGAGAAGCTTTCGAATGTTTCCAATGTTTCTGAGTAGTAGGAAGCATGTCCTGCACAAGGTGGTAATGTGCTGGTCCAATGACAGCTCTGGATCAGGTCACGCCAAGGTCCTTAACACTGTTAGATAGTGGAACAGTGGTTTCGCCAAAGTGAAACGACTTGATGTTGGTCTGTTCTCGGCGAGGTGTAGTCCCTACCAGAAGACACTCTGTCTTGTCCTCATTTAGCTTCAGCTTGTTGGTGAACATCCATGACTTGATCTGGTCACAACACTCTGCCATGTGGTCTGTTGTAGAATGCACGTCAGTTGGATTTGGTTTGAAGCTGTTATGAAGCTGGGTGTATCTGCAAACAACTGTCGCGAGACTTGAAACTGGTCAATTAGAGTTCCGAGATCCTTTGTGTATAGTTTGAAAAGGACCGGTCCCAGTACAGATCCCTGAGGAACACCACATTGGAGATGAACATTGTCAGAAGAGCAGCCATCAATGAATACAGCCTGATGACGATTTGTCAAGTAGGTTGTGAACCAATCACGCACTATCCCATCAATACCAAAATTATTCCTGAGACGAGACAGAAGCCTGCTATGATCAATGGTGTCGAATGCGGCGCTGAGGTCGAGGAGGACAAATAAAGATGTTATGTTATTGTCAACACTGAGTCGCAAGTCATTAAACACACGGACAAGAGCTGTCTCAGTACTGTGGTCCTTACGTGTTTCCGACTGATATGGCTCAGAGAGGTCATGATGCATCAGATGCTGAGATAACCTGTCTCCCACTGCTCTCTCTATCACCTTGGACATGAAGGTAAGGTTGGATACAGGACGATAATTCTTGAGTTCATCTGGATCCAGATTTGATTTCTTCAGAAGAGGTTTCACTAACGCTGATTTAAATGGAGTGGGCATGATGCCAAGTCTGAGGCTAGTGTTTATCATGTTTGTGAAGACAGGCACAAGAATATCAATGTTTTCTAATAGGAGTGGCATAGGAATTTGGTCCAAAACACAAGATGTTGGCTTAGATTTCCGGATGAGTTTCACTATTTCGTCTTGGGGGAACTCTGTAAAGGAGTCGAACAACACCAATGCTTGTTGATCACACGAAGATATACTAAATCTCAAAATAGATCCCACATCATAGTTTTCTGTTGAATCAATGATTTGATCCTAAGCAAAGTGTGAATAGTATATTTAGGCCACAAGTCCTTATAATGATAACAAATTAGCTAAATCTTTAAAAAAGCAAATGTTTACTTTTCCTAATAAAACCTTAAGTTGGGGAGTTGGGTAAAGACTATAGGACTAGAAGCTGAGTGATGATACTCACTAGATTTGTACCTTGATGTTCTAACATGATTTTGAAAACTTTGTTATATTTCAGAAAAGGAGACCATTCAGGCATTTCTACAGATTCCCAAGCATGAATGCTCTTATGTTCAGCTGAGAACAAAAATGATGAACAAGCAGAAAATACAGCAGCAAAGGACAAGGAAGAGATGGCACACATTTCAAGAATAAGATTAACTTAAAAATATTCAGATTATTTCTAAGGGATGTTACATTTGGGAATTCACTTTCCCAGTAAAGTACAGATACTAGTACTTTGCTGGTGGGGGTGGAGTCAATCCCATGTGTGATTTGAACCAACCCTCTCAGAGTGAAACACCTCATCACAAAACAACATAGTCAGCAATTTAACCTGACAAATGTTAGTCTAGGTCTCGCTTCAGAGAAGTGTAAATGCAAAAATTACAAAGTTTTGCAAAGTTATGAATGTAAGCATGTCAAAGCTATATGGTTTAATAAATAATAATTATTAAACTTACCATTTGTTTTTGTTCCTATCATTGGTTCGCACTGGGGTGGAATATGGCTCCATTTTCCATGGTGGAGTCTCCGAACCTGATTTGGAAAAAATATAGGTGTGTGTGTGTGTGTGTGTTAGCACTTGCGGATCTGGCGTGATGACTATCTCAAAATGGGCTATCTCAAATAAGCCCCAGTTAATTCAGGAGTCGTCTTGCATGCCTCACTGTATGATAAGAGTAACGGGAATAGTCCCGACTGGCTCAAAATGGGATGTTTAGATGGTATTCAGGAATTAGTCTCAATTCGCCTACATCCCATTTCGCATACAAAAATAATGTAGGCTAATTGGGATTAGAAATTGCACCCCTACTGTTATAATGAACCTGACTCACTGGTCAGTGCCATACTACATCTTGATCGACTGTTGTTATGAGGATATTTGGTCAATTCCAACGAAAAGTGTACACAGCTAGGTATAAGGTGTCCAAAACAGAATTGCTTGCACCTTGTAATTCTTTTTACCAATGTAAAGTCAACATGTTTGCCTCTTATAAAAATCAGTTGCCATCACTAATCTCTAAAAGTGACAAGTTGGTGGATCAGTGAAGTTGAAGGCTCATTTTCTGAATTGACTACAAATACCAACATCATACCTTGTATATCCTGTGATTAGATGGGTTGTATGTTGCCTAACATCCAAATTCACTGTTGTTCTGCATGCACAATATGTTAATGACTATAGAAAGTCTGAAGCCATATCATGGTTTCTTTCATGTTTTATAACCTCAAGCTTTACGAAAATAGAACCATTTTGGTACCTTTCTTTGGTGTAAGTGAGATAGCTCCACTTAGTGTTGTTTTCACAAACGAATCATTGTTACATGTCTATCTTATTCATCTGGGAGACAAATCTTGGGTGGAAGACAAAAAATGTACTTGTAGGTAATAAATATCGCATAATTCCTTGTATTTTATAAATGTTTATATATGTCAAACTGAATCATAGCTGGTTTATCAAAACATCGAACATTTTGGAAATTGGTATCTAAATGCATAGGACATGTGAAAAAAGATTGTTTACAACCACTTTAAGGCTTTCTCTTTGTTTTGTCTCAGTGTATGTCGGAAAGTAGCAATGCCATTTTGACGGATGGAAATAGAAATTGAACTAAAATCATTACACCTTAATTTTTATTTTATTTGTCCTTCAAATACTTCAACTAGAAGAACTATTTACCATTGCGTAATCAACAGTCAACAGACCATGAAATGTTGTTTTAAGATTGTAGGCGAAATGAGAACATGCCGGTATTCCGACCAGACATCAGGCAAATATCAGTGTGGGAGCCCCAGTTTATTCAGGAGTCGTCTGGTATGCCTCAGTGTATGATAAGAGAACCGGAATAATCCCGACTGGCTCAAAATGGGCTGTGTTTAGATGGTATTCAGACCAGACATCAGGCAAATATCTATGTCGGAGCCCCAGTTTATTCAGGAGTCGTCTGGTATGCCTCAGTGTATGATAAGAGAACGGGAATAATCCCGACTGGCTCAAAATGGGCTGTGTTTAGATGGTATTCAGACCAGACATCGGGCAAATATCAATGTCGGAGGCCCAGTTTATTCAGGAGTCGTCTGGCATGCCTCAGTGTATGATAAGCAAACGGGAATAATCCCGACTGGCTCAAAATGGGCAGTGTTTAGATGGTATTGAGACTCGATATCTGGACTTTGCAATCCAGTTGATTAATTTTACTCAAAAGGTCAAAAAAGAATGTTTATATCAACTGCAGTGAAATCCTGTGTCTCCCCGATATTATAACTTCGGTCCGCATTAGTCACAACAATCACCATCATATTGCATCTACTCACGCCTCGACATGAAGCGCGAAAATAAAACCTGCGCGATATATTATACATTTACATTATTTGGCAGAAAAAGGATACGTATACATATTTCATTTCACTAAAAGTAATATTTCTTGTAGCTGTACGATCACATGTCAACGAAGTGTTTTCGCGGTGGAAATAGCTAGAAACTATATTTTTCCGATCTCTCCGATTAAGTAAAGCACCTGTAGATCGCGGGGGAAAGTGTGCACAGCTGACTGCCATTTCCGACGGTGTATACGAGGCAAATGCACACGCTAATCCTAATCCCTGCATATAATACAATGCCTAGCAAAAACAAATTAGAACTGTAAAGGATAAATGATTTTTAATTGAAAATTTGACGTCTTTACTGACAAAATCGTCTTCTCTTGTTAGTTCACGGGAAGCGATACGATGTCGTTTTCTTAAAGATCACATGTACTCTAGGGGTGTACAAATACATAAATCACTAACTGGCATCGCTATAAATGAAACCCGGTCATTAAAACTACTCACTTCTGTCTTTAATTAACTTAAATCGACCTTTTTGACAACTGTGCACAAATCTCACCCGCGAACAAAATTTCAACCAATCAGAGCGGGGCGTCTCTGTGACGTCATATGAGGAATAGATATGAGGGCCGATGCAGAATTCATCTACATTTCAGGGGGTAAATTATCTTGTTTACAGGTTTGTATAAACCTGAAATCGTGACAACTGCTGTGGAAAATGAAAGCTATATGTTCTCACAATCTACTGTCAGTTAATTTTGTCATCTGCTTTGCCTAGTTTCCGAGTTACAACTTGTTTTCATAGACGATTCTGTCAAAATCGATTGGTGTCGTTAGGCCCTATTTGTATAATGACTGATCCAAATTGATCCCATTTCTGTGCTTTTTTACCTCGATATTTAATCATGTCATGTAAAAATATGACGTCTATTACGTATGATATTAAAAATTGACATTTGATTTATTTGAATCGGTAAACTAAACAACCCCACTTTGCCATTGCTAGAAAAATCTGAAAATTTACTTAGGTAAATAGGTACATACAGTTTTAGCACACAGCAAATGCTTATTATGTATTTCTTATGCAACAATGAAGTTCTGTTTGTATTCTCAAAACAGTGTCGGCCCATAAATTTTCACATGCAATACAGCAATTAATACTCCCTCGTAACCCGTGTTAGGTGGTATAAACCTACACATGTTATTTGTCATCGTTCACTTGATGGTCAGTTAATGAGTTTATAACAGGTATAATTAGTGGTAACACACTTAGATTACCCCACAAAGGTTCCCATTTGGCATTTCTTGTGTCTGGAGTAAATATTCAACATTATAAACATCGATCAAAGGATTAACCGATAACACGCTGATTGATTAATTACTTTTATCTTACACAGCGGATTTGTCAAAAGGTAGTGTTTATGTATGTAGATTTACTAATCTATACTGAATACACTCTGTCGTATCGGTGTCTGCGTAAAAACAACGTCCTTCTTTCAAAGGATTAATTGGCAATACATTGATTGATTGCCCATTATTGGCTAACTAAATTACTGTTTATAAAGAAAGGCGGACATTATACAATTAGTTGCCAGGTGTGCTATCTTGGGTGACCAATGAGACTATACACCAATGTGAAATACCTGAAAAGATTTATCACTTTTTCGTATACTAAACTGTTAAGACACATCACTTGGAACAACTGCAGATGAATGGCATATCACTCGTTTTTGTGGATATTGATGGATACATTCCTCAAACAAAGTAATAGCCTGACATTGTTCCTATAACGTTTTAATTTTAATATTTGCATTTTGTTTTTATTCATTTGTAGTAGCATTCAACAGAATCGTTGTTTTCGCCATGAAGTGTAATGAGACAGACAACATACACTAGGGTGTGTGTGCGAGTTATGATTAACATTCTATACAACTAACTGAAAATCGTTCCTCATATGACGTCACTGCAGTGCTCTGGCGACAGAGTTACGTAACCTGTCTGTGGTTTCGTTGGCGGGCGAGAGTGAAGCAGGCGACTTTTTGGCAACTTTTAATCGCTCGGTACTAATTAACCACAAGTCTTTTAAGAATGAATTTGTTGTTCCGCATAAGTCTAACCACAAATCCTTCATATGTAATAGTTAAAAGAGTACAAAAAAAACCAAAATTTATTTGTTCTTTAACCCCTGAAAGAAAGTCTACATATCTGCCTGTCTTCATCAGGGTGTTGATTTCCTATAGCGGTTTTCAGTGTTCGAGTAAGGGAATATTTGTTGGGTAATCTTAATGTATCCTCAAAACTTATTCCATAGCAAACCGTGAGTGGTAAACAACGTAAACTAATCTAAAGCAAGGGCACATCGGCGCTTGAGCGGGAAACAAGTTATGCCAAATGATAAATGTATGTTACAGCATAATATATTTAAAGTTAAAGTTTAAGATATGTACTACAATTGATGTGTCAATTTCTTATGTTGATATTGTTAAAACAAATAAAAACATGTAATGGAATTAACAAGAAGACAAAGTCATCAATATCCCCGGCAACAGTGCCATCTTTGATATGACAATACAATATTTATACAGAAATTACAACAGCTGATGCTACAGGCCAATGAGGGTCAACTTGGGTTACTTTAAAGCTTAGTTATGTCCAAATTCTAGTGAAAGCTTATAATGTTTCGATGTAAACGCGACAGACGCGTATAACCCACAACAGGGACATCTATGGATCATGGTGAACATGTGTACCAAGTTTGATAAAGGTAGCATGTATAGTGTGGGAGATCTGCTCCGTACAAGATGACATCCTCATAGTCACAGCCTAAGTCTTGTGTCCATGGAAACAGCAAATAATAAAATTCATATCTGGGTCTAACCCTCAAAAGAAAAGACACATCCTCAGGTTCATGGTGAACATGTGTACCAAGTTTGATAAAGCTATAGCATGTATAGATTGGAAATCTGCTCCGGACAAGATGACCTCCTCATAGTCACAACCTAAGTCACGTTTCCGCGGAAATCACAAAAAATATAATTCTTATCTGGGTCTAACCATCAAAAGGCACATCTATGGATCATGCTTGATATGTGTACCAAGTTTGATACAGCCAGCATGTATAGTTTAGA